AAAAAAAAAAAAAAAAAAAACCCCATAAAAAAGTGGGGGGGGGGGGTATTTAAGTTACATATATTATGACAACCTTTAATTTGTTGTTGCAATAAATACTGTATCTTTTTTTATATCTTTGTATGTATAGAAATGCTCTATGAATGGGCTCAGAGTTGTTGGAAATAAACTGTATATAAGTTTATCTGTTTGAAAATTACTTTAAAATGGTATTTTCTGATCACTTTTTGCTTCTTGCTTACCGTGTTACTATAAGATGTTTTCTTTTATGAACTAATATTAATGTTAATTACTTTTTGCTGGTGTCACATTTTAAAGAACTATAAATCCCAACAACCAACTGGTGTGTAAAAATAATTAACATTTTTCTTTATTGAGATGTATTTCCCATTTTTGTGGGGAAAATAAGCCAAAATTATTACTTTGTGTTTGAGTTTTTTAAATATTAATAAATGTCTGAGTTATTGTATGCAAAACAATAAATATGATTTAAAATTATTTCAAAGTAGTACAATGTTTATAAAATAAACCTAAGGACTATAGAATTATATGTTTCTTATTTATTTATATATATTTTTTATATTCTAAGATGTTGCAGAGCAGTTGGGAGGGAAGGAGAGAGGGGAAGGGGAAGGGAAATAGGGTGCAAGAAGGAGGAAGAAGGGGGCGTGGTCAAGTCCCATGGCACCCGTGCCCCCCCCCATTCTGGCAGGGGAGACTAGGGAGCTGTCAGCGGAGGCTTGGTCATTGCTATCCTGGGTGCACATGTCAGGGGGTATGGCTGAAGCCCTCAGCTCCCCCCAGCCCTACTCAGGAGCCCAAAGTGTTTCTGATGGTGGCTCAATGGTCATCTCTGGGCTTGGTGTAGACATGAGGGGATCATGGTTGAGGCCCTTGGCCCTCCACCACTTCAGCTCGGGAGCCCTGGGTGCTTACTGTGGTGGCTCAGAGGTTGTTGTTGGGCCAGCTGTGGCCTTTGGGGGATATGGCTGAGGCCCATGGCCCTCCCCCTTCCCTGGCTTGGAAGACCAGGGGGCTTCCAGTCCTTCTAGGTTTTATAGGTGTTCTTTGTAAGACATTTACTGGTTTATATCAAACTTTGTCTCTGATCTGTGGATATTTTGTTTTTTTCTTGTAGTTCTGTGTTGGATTATTACCTATTCCTACAATTTAAACTCTGCACTGGAACTAATTTGTTGTCCTTTGGTTACTTCTACAATGAAGGAACTTCCTAAGGGAACCAGCACTTGGGCTCTGTGGTAGAGCTCAATTGCTGCTTTGCTGCTGATTCTCTGCGGAAGGCTTTTTGTGCAGCTCAGGTTTTAATTGTTGACCACGTAAGCACTTCTGGGTCTTGTGAGGTCTGATACACCTGTATTTGAAAAATCTGGTCCTGTGTCTGAGTCTTTTCAGCAAACTGCAGCCCCTGCAGTTCTGTATTCCTGACCAGTCTCCACTGAGTGGGCCTGTGCTGACTGGAGGGCAGATCAGCTGTCCATGCCGTGCCCCAGTGTTCCTCCTGTGGCCTGTCTCCCTCACCGCCTGTACTCCAAACACTTTCCATGGGATGGGCCAGGTGCTAGTCCCTTGTGATGACTCACCAGCCTCTGACTGGCTCCTTTTTTCAGTTGTTGTGGCTCCTCACTCCTATGTGGGTCCACGGGAACCCTGTTAGTGGTCTTGCTCGCCTGGGAGCCACAAAGGCCCTCTTCTCCCCTGCCACCTCCAAGCAACTTCATCCAAAGGGCACAGCTGTGGCTTTTGCCAGCTCTTGCTCTATGTACTCACCAGCTCCAGCCTTAAAGCAGCTGGGGCTCGAAGTAGTTGGAGTGGTCCTTTCTTTCTTTCATGGTGGCTTCTCCTGCCTTCATGCACTCCATAAGTCTCTCTTCTTCCCCTGAGCTCTAGCAACCTCAGCTTGCTGTCATTGCTTTTTAATAGTTGTAAATTGGTTGATTTGTGGGAGAGAGTGATGCTGGGGACCTTTTATTCCACCATCTTGACCGGAAGCCTGAGAATTATATATTAATATATGTATTTTTACATAATCTCTAGGAAAATCTGTCAAAAAAGATTATTATATTTTAGCAACTTCCATGTAAAAGTGAGATACTACTTCAATTAGGTTTTTCAGAAATCTGTGAATTTCAAAGCCATTTTATTTGTTCATAGTATAATGAAAGATAGAAATGGCAAAAACAGCATGGTTCAAAGCCTCACTCGTATTAGGGTATAGGAGAGTGAGGAATTAAAATAAGTGCAAAGATTTTGGAGTCAGACCTGTATGCAGAGACTGACTTCATTATCTCTGAACAAATTATTTAACCTCACTGAGCTTCAAATTTTTACATTCTAAAAGTTGGAGAACTTATAGGGAAAGCATTGGTAACAAACTTCGTTGCCTGCGGGACCAGAGAGGTAATTTAAATGTGTATGTCAGTCAGGATAGGATAGGTCATACAGAGTTAACAAATGGTCACCAAATCACAGTGGGTTACAATAAGGATTTATTTCTCACTCATGCTGCACATTTGTTAATGAACTATGATTCTGCTCTTTGTTATCTTTTCTCTAGGATCAAAACTGATGGAGAGACCTCTGCCTCAGATATTGTCTCATAACTAAATGTTCAGACATCATGAAGTGCACCCTAGCTCATAAGCTTCTGCCTTAAGGTGATATATTTCAATTCAACCTGCATTTTATTGGCAAAAATAAATGCTAAGTCTACTACAGAGTTCAATAAGATAAGGATAGATAATCCTCTACCAAGAAAGTATATTGGAGTATTTGCCCATCCAAAATGCCAGTTTAATTTTAGCTGTGTGCTAACTGGCTTTCCACAATGAATCAAGTCACCCTCATGTCAGTGTGTATATGCGTAATGTGTAAGCAGCAACTAAAGTAGAAGATTTTTTTTTCTAAAGGGATCAGCTTCTCTTTAATTTTCACTAATTGTTACTATGAGGAAATACTTGCTTGGTGTTTTTAACTCTTAGTTTTTTTTAATTTCCAGGAGAGGCCATGACTCCAGATTTCTTATATGAAATTTTACTAATTTAAAATGTTAATGACACAGGACACAGGTTTGAATTAAATTTAGCCCCATACCTAACATTTTGTGAAAATTATATACTATAGTATCTTGGAAATTGATAATTAGTTTAATAGCCTCTAACCTTCATAAGCTGGCTTTTGCATTAAAGCTAATTGGAAGTAAGAATCAAATCTACTAAAGAGTAAGAATCGTAATAATTAAAGTAACTAAAAGTAATGATCATTTTCGTAAGTGCACCCCAAGTTGCTTTTAAAGGGGATGTTACCAAAATGTGAATAGTAGCAGGATTTTTTTTTAGAAATACAGTTTCTCTAGATGCCGACTTTTAAAAGAGTAGCTTTTCAACTGGAAATTCTGGCATGTTTATTAAAATTGCCCTTATTTTATTTTTTTCATGTGTCATTCCTGAACGGCAGATCTGCTGTTACGATTATCATACGCCATGCTTTGATTAAAGTACCAGATAGTACACCTATAAAATCACCTATAAAACTGTTGTGTTGAATTTTAACTTCATTAGATATGTAACAAGCATGGTGATGAAATGGTTGGTATTTTCACCTAAAAACCTATATGGATATTTTAAAATAACTAGTGTTAATGTTATATGTGATGAAAACATGTTGCTATTTACCTTTTAGTTGTTTTATTGATAATAGCCTAACCTAGGAGTTAGAGATCCGTGGAATTAATATAATTGAATCCATAGCTTAGGAGGAGAGTAAGTGGAGAGAAAGAATAGGTGTTGGAGTAATTTATAGATGTTCTTCCATGCTAGAACTGGAAGCTTCTGACCGACCACTGCATGGAGCCAGAAAATCAAGTAGCTTCTTCCCTATTTCTCTTAAATAAGTAACTACTACTATGAAAACACACCCTTGGGCTGAGTACTCAACCTGCACTTTGTCAGCTTCTATCTGGTTTTGGGGTTTAGTTGCTTTACCAAGGATATA